AACTTTTCTAATTCTGATCACCCCCACCCTTACCCAGTATATTAACTTGTTCATTCCTTTAAGGAGAAATTTGTTTCTAGAGCAACCTACGGATTCACCTTTAATTCTTCCTTCTTTCCCTCCCTCTCCCCTCCCCTCTCTTTCTCTTTCTTTCGTCCCTACATTTAAAAAATAAAATTATATCGAATTTTCTTTTCTTTCTCGATTATAAAAGAAATTACTTTTACTATTTCTTTCTTTTTCCCTCTCCTTTTTATCTGAACAAAGTGATTTCATTTCTTAAAAGCCTTCAGTCGGAGGAGATGAATATTTAAATATATTCATGAAATAAATTATAACCGAAATGGGTTTTAAAGATTTTCATTACTTATTATATATATATATATATATATATATATATATATATATGCAAATGAACATTGACATTAACACTCAGAGGTGACAGGCTGATCATGTTAGACGTAATCGTCAGGCCGCTAGATTGCGTCTAGTATTAAACAGCCTGTCTCCTCTCAGTGTTGACGTCAATGTTCATTTTTATATTATATTTACATACGCTCTATCTCTGATATTGAGCACTTTATCCCATAACTATAGCACACTAAACACACACACACACACACACACACACACACATATATATATATATATATATATATATATATATATATATATATATATATATATATTGGTTGTCCGATTGTATACGTCTGTGTTCGTTAACAACAAACAATAAAGTGGGAATTTTGTTGTTGTTTTTTCCCTGAGACATTTTATAATAATTTTGGCCTAGTAGTTTGCCACAGTTAGGGTTATAGAGGATTTGTAGAAGACTCTGTTGAAACTGTATTCTCTAAGTAGGCCTAAATTACTGTTTAATCCTTTAATATGTGATTCTATTTTGAATATGTATTTTAACTCGGACTTACGTCGTTCTTGTTGACACTTAAATGAAGACGCTAAAATCACGCATCTGATCTTATCAATGCTGTGGTCCGGTTGGTTGAAATGTCCAGCGACAGGAAAATTGCTTTTGTTTTTGTTTTTTTATGTTTCTTTTTTATGGTTATTGAACCGAAGATGGAACTCCGTGCCTGTTTCTCCATCATAATTCCTCTTTTCGCATTTGTTGCAAAAAAGTAAATATATAATATTTGAACTATCACAAGTCAAAGTCGACAGTCTGATAACTGTGTGTGTGTGTGCTGGAGCGTGAAAATACTAATAGTGATGACATATTTACAAAAATAGCATCGGGATTTATTGGAGGTGACGTTCCCTTCGTAAGGTGGTCATTTAAATATGCGAGATGATGTTAGTATTGTGTACAATTTGGGGAGTGGTGGTGACGCCTAGCGTTGAGTGCGTTATAGCTAAATATCTTTTTAATTGTATGATCAAGTTTTATGTACTGGAAATCTTTTAGTAAGATACAGTAAAACTTGTGAATATTGTAATTGAAATCAAAAACCATGGAAATTCTGGAATTATTCATTTTGTCTCCTAGGTTAGAAGAGTATATCTACTTAAGATAGTTTTAAGTGGGTAATTCTTATTGAGAAAATAACTTAAGAGTTGTCCCATGCATTTTTTGTAATCCCTATTTTCAGAACAGATATATTTTATGCGTAAACATTGTCTGTAGATCATTGATTTTTTATGTTGGTGAGGTGACAGATGTTAAAATGTATGTAGCAATGACCATCTGTGGGTTTGGTTTATAGTGTTATGGAGATCAAGTTGTTGTACATCAAGAAACAAAATGGACGTAGTGGAATATTCTATTTTGAATTTTATACCTTGGTGAAAATTTTGTGTTGTCTGAAGAGTGTTTTTATCATGTGTTCATATAAAGAAGATATTGTTTATGTATTTTTGGTAATGGAGGGTTCTAGATGGTGTGACTCAACATCTCGTTCCAAGACATCCGTGAATATATTCGTATAGCTGGAAAACATTTTAGTTTCCATCGCTGTGCCTCTGACTTGAAGAAAATGGTGACCATTTAAATCGAAATTGTTTTGCGTGTTGTGTTCCTGAAATCCTCTGGTATGTAAAAAAATCTTACAAGCTTCTATTCCCTCCTCGTGTGGGATGTTGGAGTATAGGTCAACACATCCAGGGTCACAAGGAGTGAATCGTTTAGTAAGGTCACTTCAAGAATTTGTTATGTACCAGAAGCTTTATATGTATGAATAAAGACAAAAGCGAAGCTTATATTAGCTGGCACGTTTTGTTATCTGAGAGACTTTTTCAAAGAAAATGATTTTAGGGTTATTAGAAGCGTAAACATCTTCTGAACCGTTAGAATTTTTTTTTTTTTTGTGAGTGAGAACATCAATGATTTTTCTAGATAAAAGTTCTATTAACACAGGTAGGAGATGGATTCACACCTTTTCAAGCGCATTTACACGAAAGTGAATGTACCAAACCCGACTGGAATTCGAACACGTCTCTGCGATTTTTCATTCCCTATCCATTACACTACCCATACATCAACTTGTTTTAATAGAAGCACACTCTCCAAAATTCGATGAGTTAACAGATTTCTTGAGTATACATCCCACAGATTTCTTGAGTATACATCCCACAGATTTCTTGAGTATACATCCCACAGATTTCTTGAGTATACATTCCACAGAGTGTGATGCTAAAGCACATACTGCACTTTAAATTAAACTTTACCATGTCTTTTCTATTCACTAAAATCTATTTATGAAGAACGATTCTGACAATACAACGAGTTGTCAATTACTCTTATCTACTTGATAAGATTTAACATTACTTGACACGCAGAGATATCTGTAATCAATGATGGTCAAACGTGGTCATCATACATCAACCTTTTCGCATAAAGAAAACAAAAGATTACGCAAATACTAGTCAAGAAGGAAGGAGTATATATCTTGTTGGGGAGAATATCAGAACCATGTTTAAAATAGAAGACATTAAGCGACGTTCTGCATTAAGTGAATACGGAATCATGAAACTGAATATCTACATTGTCGCTGTTATTAGTGCGACCCGCTTTTCAGATAAAGGCCATATACGTGAGAACGGTGAAAGTGGCTTCACTTCCGGTCAAGCCGACTAACAATGTCGAAGAGTTCATATTCATAGGATCCAGTTGCACAAGTCAGGCAGGAGCAGTAGACCGCATCTTGCTCCAATAAAGGAAATCAGACTTGGATATGGCATCAGTATAACAAAAAATTGCAACAGCATTTAAACAGAAGAATACTGGGAATCCATTAGTTTTCAGTGCATCTTACCAGAGGTCTTGGAAAACGCAGATCCTACACTGTATGTTAAGTTCTTCCCTTTCTGTTCAGAATAATGTAAAAGACTTCAGAGCTTCAAAGATCCTGTAACCATAAACCTTAAAAAGGAAGATTAGTTGGACCGTGCAAATTAACGTGTAATTTTCCGGTTTTCAGATTTGGTTTTAGAATTAATCGTGGTATGACTCGGGTAATTTGGTATTGCTGTACACTTAAGGAAAATATTGGAAAAAAGACAGGAGTATGTCACGTTTCTTGATTTTTCAATGTCGTTCGATACAGTAAGCGGATAGAAGCACCAAAAAATATTGAACAACCTTGATTGTCTACAAACAGTGATAATCCACTTGGTAGCGACTTTTCACATTTCTTAATAGTTTCTAATCGCATAGAGCAATGTTTAATCCTAGCTACGTTCACATTATCAATATTCTTCCGTATATCACTGAAATGAGTTTGGAGATCAGGAGTCTTTCTTACAAACAACCTCAGCTCAATGTGAAATCAATATTTTGGAATTGATTTCCAACCAAATTGTTTTCAGATAATCCCACCATGTTTTAAAGAAACGCATGAAGTTTTAGAACATTTATTTTTCTTTTACTACCTTAAAAAATTCGACAATCATACGTCTCATTTTTCGTTAAAGAATACAGATGTGTGGCGATGGTCAAGTCTAAGAAGACAATTTTAATTAAGCTCTTTCATGATGATGCCAAGAATTTTTAACAGAAATCAGGACGGGCGAATTTATTGGCTACATGGAGCTCCGGAAGTAACACAGGCATTGAATTCTTTCACGAAACTGCTATAAATTTTTCTTTCTAAATTTTCGCTTAGCTTTTGGAAGGTATGTTTTTCTATCATAATGCACCTTCGAATTTCGGTGTTACATTTTCCGTCCTCACTTAAAACACTTTGTAGATATTTACATTTTTGCATTTGCTTGATTTTGGTGTCTCCACTTTTTAATTCATATCTTGTGCTGATCCTTCAGTTGAAACCCTGCATTCTGTCTTTTTGCAATCGATGTTTAATCTTTTCTTCTCTCTTTCTTTCACTATCCTCTATAGGAGTTCCTGTAGTTTCCTTTCCGTGTTTACTATCGACACTGTGTCTTTTGCATATCCACTCTTGTTGTCATTTTGACCGCCAATAATGTATTCTATTAGAACTCGTGATTCTCTTGGGATTGCTTCACTGTAAAGGTTGAATAAATTCGGTGAGAAGAGATAAACTTGTCTTATACCCCTTTCTATTTTTTGTCCATTTACTTTCTATCCGTATGCAGGTGGTTTCATCCCAGTACAATTTCTTGATTGTTCTAATAACCTTTCCGAATATATGAAGGTTACGTAGCCGTACAAATAATACACGATTGAAAATACTCTTATGTTTCCTCATTTTGTTTATGAAATGCCGAGAGGAAAATAGAGAAACAATCTTTTCAAAAGCAGTGACGAAGAGAAGATAGAAAGTCGTAACCCTCGAATTTCACAAAACATTAATTATCATCTTATTTCTTCACTCGTTACTTCTAGAAATAAAAGTTCGCCTGGCTTTTACTGGCTTCATTAGCCATCAACTGACCTACAACTAAAATGGAAATAATTTTAAAGTTTTCATTGGTAAACTCAAAACACATACACGCACTGCAACTATCCACACATATGCATACTGGCCAACAACTCTCGTTTTATGAGTACATCTGTTTATTACAGCGGCTTGTCAAATCCTTTTGCAGAGAGAGAGAGAGAGAGAGAGAGAGAGAGAGAGAGAGAGAGAGACAATGTCATGATCAACATTTTGAAGAAGGCCAATACGCTAAAATTCTCGCTAGCGATGACTTGACATCTTACTAGCACAACACTGATGACTTCCGAACATTTCCGTCTCTCAATCACAGTGGTGTGATTTTCAGCCATTTCCCTCCCCAGAAGTCAAATCGATCACATATAAGTTCATGCAGACATGTGCAGACAAATATATACACAATGCAAACAAATAAATGGTTATGCGTGTCAAAATTCTCGTATAGCAATGAATGAGAACACATTTAATGAGTTTTATAGACAAGAGATAAGTATCACGTAAAAGACATAACATAATCAAAATGCGTGCACTACTAAAATTCCTGGGGCACATATTGAGGAAAGACCAACAGGAGAATTTAAAACTTACAGGTCATATTGAAGTCGAGAAAAGCAGTGAAAGCATCTCTTAGTTTAAACGTGTTTGTGTTAATGAATGACAGAATAAGTACAAAAAATGGTATAAAGTAAGAACCTACTTAAATCAACAAAAAATAACCCCAGAACAGGAGTTTGTGGAGAATGGTGATCTCCGCATCTTGAAGAGTGACAGCATATAAAAGAAGATTAATCATGAAATGGATAACGGTCTTTTGGGCGAGTGGAAATTATCTAAGTGCGAAAGATCTGTATAGAAATTCCCCATAAGTTATAACTGATCCCTAACACGGACCTATGACCTCTGTAAGCAAAAACACGACAAATCCAGTACCCAAATCTATACAATTTCAGGTGCCAGACTAGAGTAAAGTCACGCTCACTTATTACACACGAGAACCGGTTTTCATGACGTATATACTAACCATTAAGCTATGGTTGGTTCTCTATTTACCTTTATAAATAAAGTGGTTACTTTGCCCTTTAATTTTGTAATAAGAGCTCGTTGTAAGTACAGCTTTCTTTGTTCTTTCTTCATTTGTCTCAAAAGATGTCTTCAACGCATGCGCCAAATGTTATTAGTTAGAGTTGCGGATTGCAGGTTGAAAGAATTGATGGGATTTCTTTCTGCTTGATGTCGCTTCTTGCAAGAATCTCGCCTCAGTCACCTCAACTAACGACCTGAATATTAAAATGAAAATAATTTTAACTGAATTCACTGGTGTGACAATCGTTTTAATTTAATGCAAGCACTTCGTGAATGAATCGGAATTCAGGGACTGGCCTAATGAGCTAAGGTATCAGAAGTTAAAATAATGTATGAGCCTTTTTTTGTCTTTTTTTTACTATAAGGCATAATCGCATTATTCTCTTCAGAAAATTAAAGCCATTATATAAGAGACATTAATTTTTTTTTTAAGTCGACCTTTTAATTTCTTAAAAGGATTTTTATAACATACTTTTAAGAAAATGCTTTTCAATGAGAGTATACCAATTAAATCTCACACACACATGCGAATAAAATGAAAAAAAAAGCTTGGAAATATCTGTTCAAAACAAATAATAAAAATGTCTTATAATATATGATTTTAATATATACGTTCCTGTGAAGTAAAATTTTATATTTTGTGAATTTTAAACAAAACCAAAATTATTGGATGTTAGGCAATTTTTGAAAATGACGTGCATTAATAAAAATAAAAAAGTAAAAAAAAAAAAATTAATAAACGTCCCTCTATCTTCTCGGGAAAATGCTATGTGAAAGTGTTATTAATAAAAGAAAATATAACCTGTCTGTTTATAATAGCTTGTTCAAGGACGTTGGACTTAAGGACTCAACGCATTCTCTGGTGCTTTTGTTGTTGCTGGTAAGCAACCATTTTTGTTATTGTCAAGAAAGCTCTAAAATGGACAGGCCGAATTTTTCTAGTAGATCAATACCAATATGATTGATTTCACTCGTCCGAATAACGGGTGGAGTCATAAAGACTTTAAAACCTTTCGGAAAGTCGTACGTTAGATTATTTTTCATATAAATTAAAACATTAAAATTAATGCAAGATGCGCATTTTCAAAAGGGGGGATATTAATTTAGAATATAACTGAAGTAAAATGTACTTGCTTAAATATAATTTAAGATAAACATGACGTGATTAAATATACGTTGCCTCACCTTCTGAGCCATGGGATAAAAATGTCGACCTCGATTTTATTTTTGTAATTGTCATTGCGTTATCTTTGAAACTAAACTCTTTTATTTGTTTCGATTATTTCACCGGTATATATATATATATATATATATATATATATATATATATATATATATATATATATGATGGACTCTCCCGTCAGTTTCGACGTATGAGGTTCCGACAACTTTGTTTATTTAACCTTGTGTGTGAGTCGCAAGTGATATTTCAGTCCTGCTAGTGATTTGAAAAGCCCACAGATTGTGCAAGAGTGTGGATTCTTGGAGTATATGGCTGGAACAGCAGCAGATATTTTATTCCTTTCCCTAGTTTGACGAAGCTTGACAATGTTTGATGCTGCCTTGTTCTTGATGGCATTGTAGCATGTAATCTTCCATTCATTACGGTCAATTACGATGTTCTCAAAAGTAGTATGATTTATATTCGCATCTAAGAGGTTACTCTTCAGCTTGTCCTACCTAACATATATATATATATATATATATATATATATATATATATATATATATATATATATATATATATAAAACATTTCGATTTCGATTTCATTTTTGCCTTGAAAAAGTCGGAAGACGAAACGCGTCAGCAAAATGTAAAGATTTTTTCCAATTATCATTTGATACCAATCTGTCATCTGGGAATTTAACTATATATATATATATATATATATATATATATATATATATATATATGGCTCGAAGATAGCGTTTAGGCAAAAACAGACTGACACAGTAGGTATTAACCTCGTTGTCGACATAATATTTACATACACTCTACCCCGAGAGCGAGCACTTTAATCCATCACTATAGCATATCTTAAAAATATATATATATATATATATATATATATATATATATATATATATATATATATATATATAACTAGACTCGTTTCGAAAAACCTCGAATTTTTGATTTGCTAATAATCAAATCAATCTCGAGGGAAAAAAGGTTTTAAAAAAAGAAAGAGCTACAAACATGAACTTCTGCCGACAAAAAAATCGCACAGATACAAGTCTGAAGTCCAAAGAAAAAACCCCGATACGAGTAAACAACTAACTAACTAAAGCCTTACTTTCCCTGACGATCCGTTTAGTTGAAACCTAGGTAGGTTTGTCTGGCTCACTAGGTGTATCTATATATATATATATATATAATAATAATTTCTTCTTATATGTATCAACTACAGGATAATGTATACCCCTAAAATCGATATGTTTAAAAATTGTCTAATACCTAGTCCGTAGTTATAATAATATAAATAATAAAAGTTATGATAATTCGTAAATATTATCTTTAGATAAAGCGCGCAGAAGATTCAAGTAGTGAAACTGCGGTAGCTTGCTAATCTTTTTTTTAATAAAGTGGGGTTACAATTTTTGTGACTGCCAGCATACTAACCAACGTTTTAGCCTCACTTCTTGATACAATTAGCTTTTCGCAGATTTTTTTTAAATGAATTAAAAACGCAGACATTAAAAACAAATATATGAATTGATATAACAAGTTTATACACAAATGTACATGCAAAGAAATGTCTAAATTTACTAAAAACACATTTAACGAAAACAAAAACAAAATTAACTATTCTACGCATACGATTTAATCACTAATCAATGTTTTCCTACATTCGAAAACAATTTTGATAAAGAGAAATTTGGTTTACTCAATGGGGTTTCTTTTCAATGTCCTTCATCTTGACTATTTTTAGAATTTCTGGAAAGTGGTCCCTTTGAAATATTTTACAAGTTTCCTCTTATTTCAGATAGTGATTTTCTAAGCGCTGCTTAGATGTGGCACAATTATGGAGTACCCAGTAAGGATCGAACTCACAACTCAGTAAGGATCGAACTCACAACTCAGTCGCAATTGTCCTAGCGAGACAAGCTTGCTAACCACGCCGAGGTGCCCATCCTCTTATTTCAGATACATGGAAGATTCTCTACTAATATATCCACAAGACATAATTTTAACTGATCTTATCAACAAACTAAATAACATCGAATCCACACAACAGGCTACCTTTGAATCTGAGTCTAAAAACGCTTTACTCTTTGTAGATATCATGCTGTACAAAAATAATAACGAACTTCAGTTTACAGAAACGCTACCAAAAAGAGTGAGCTAGTTAAATTTTATTTCCAGAACTGTAACAAGATTAAGTCGGAATAATTATATGTTTCTATTTAAGAGAACTAAGAATCTGCAGCCCGCAATTCTTACTCAAAGAATAAATATACAAAAACCTCCAATATACATATTATTTCATCGATAAGGTAAAGACTAAGAATATACGACCATAAAAAATATACCTACTAGCTCCATAACATCTACTATCCCCAACAACCTATAAAACCTAAACAACATCAAAATAATTACAATCACATCCAAAACTATTATGGATATGATCCGAATAGAAAATACCGATAAAAATAATAGTCCTGAACCAGGTCTATATAAAATAAATTGCCAGAACTGTTACTCATAATACATTGGGGAAACTTGCAGAAATTTAAAAAAATATCTATGAACACAAAAGAGATCAATTTATCAAATTCATAAGTTATACATAGAAATAAATTCAACCACAACTTTGACCTAAAGAATGACACACTTATCAAAAGAGAAAGTAACTTACTTAGAAGGAAAATTCTCGAGAGTGGCGCTATCGCATCTTATCAAAATATAAATCTTACCCTCGGATTTTTTCAAATATCTTTCCCAAGACAAGATACATGACTCAAAAGTTAAAAATTCAAGGAAAACGGTTAAATAATTTAAATAATAATTTGCATAATTTTCTTCAAAAACATCACTTTCGTTTAATTTTATCAATATGTGTCTCCATAGCTTGTCTGATGTTTCAGCTAACCTGATGAATATTTATGAGCGTTCCTA